GAAATATATTTATGTTTGTGGTTGTAATGTGACAAAATATGGAAAAGTTCAAAGGGTATGAATACTTTTGCAAACCACTGTATGTCGAAGAAATAAGAAGCTTTTTGGAAGAAATCGCTTTTGTGAAAGAGGAGCTGTCTGGTGGTCTGAGAGGGTTTTGTTTTTCTCAGGAAACAAAGGACGGTCATTTAGATCCAGAGGAAGTGGAACTCCAGTGAGCACAGCGTCTCTGACGTCGGCAGTAGAATAGTAGGGGTCCCAACACACTGTGGTAAATGGATTCATTTGATAAACTCAAGCCATATGGCATCACAGTTCATGGCTGCACTGATGGATTTAGTTGTCACATAATGTGGATGGAAGCATTTTACTCCAAGAGTGACCCAAAAGGAATGACAGTGACCCGTAGGAGGCCATCCTCAGCAGGTTTGGGTCGACCCAGGAACAGAAAATGGACGTCGTGTAAAATTTTGACTTTATTCTTGTAATTTACAAAAGATACATCTGGTCCTAACACTGCTGATCTGTTTTCAGATGTAAATAAGTTTCTCTTCAAAAGGAGTCGGTTTTGAGTCGGACCCTGTGAACACCCACCTTTCCTGACTCAACCCTTGTTCTATTTGAGGTCTGATCAGTATGTTTGTCAGGACAACAGTTCCTCTTTGCACCACACACGTTCCCACATCATTTCCCATCAGATGATGTGTATCAGAGCCTGTAATGATTTACCAGAACATCAATATGTGTTTTACTTCAAAACATCACTGTCCTCTATTTCTGGATACTGGAAGTGTTTGGAAAACTAAAACTATTTCACCAACACTGTTATTGTTTTGATCCTTTTTACAGTGTCTATTTGTTGAGTTTATGATCTGGCTTTTGATTTTTTGTGACTGAAACAAATTTTCTGTTGATTTACAAGCACATCCAAATGAATAAAAATATATTTTTAGGGTAAAGGGACTATAATATGCAACCAGGAGGACAAGAGAAGAAAGGAGGTGCATGCAATGCAAAAAGAATTACTCGTGTGCACACTTGTCTTAAAATTAGGGAGGTAAAAAATATAGAGCACAGAGTTAAAAAAATATATACACTCAAGCACTTAAAAAAACCCAATGAAAAACAAAAAGCTGACATGGCAGCATACTTGAGAACTCCCAGAAGGAATTGAAACTCAGAACGACTCCCCGGAAATAATCAAAACAGGATACAGAAATGATAAATACATAGTTGACAAAGAACAGAAGATAAATAATGCCTAACTGGATAGTAGAGAGTGCAGAGTATAATTATACCCAAACACTGATTAACTGAACCAGAAACACCTGAGCTGATTACTAAATGGGGACAGGTGTGAGTGGACGTGCAATAATCTGACCACCTTTCCAAAATTCAATCTTTCCAGCTCAGAGATAAGAAAGAATTGTTTGTTAGCATGATCACACAGGTTCGCCCAGCTACACATTTGGGGACATTCCATTGACTACCATTACATTTTTACAGCCTAACCCTGACCACAAACCCTAAGGCTAACCTCACAGGTACCTACCTGACCCTAAAACTAACCTAAACTTAATTCACAACTTGGTCCTAAACCCAACCCTCAACTCACCAATGACATTTAAACCAAACGGGGACTCAACTGTCCCCAAATGCACCAGTTGTCCCCAAAGGTGGGCGTTTTGTCTTAAAATTGCCCCCAAATGTCACCAAAACAACCTCCCCCCCACACACACATGCACAAGAAGTACTTAAACTTGAATGACTAAGCAACCTGAATATGACATCTAACCAGAACAGCTCGTTTTTACCTCCATGAACATCTTTCTCAGTCACACATTGCACAAAGTTACTTAGCATCTCTTGTAGCAGCCTGTTTTAAAGGCTCGGCTCTTCTTCTCTGTAATGTTAACGGGTAGGTATTATGCAAAATCAACATTTTTTTTTGCTTTATATCATGTTATAATGTTCCCTCATCAAACACTTACCCAAATCTCCATAACTAAATCATAAGTAAACCTGGTCAGTAGTTGCTAGTTTAATCTAACTTCTGGCCACCTAAGATAAACATGTGTGCTTTGTTTACATTAAGAGGGGAGTCAATTTTGGTTG